AAATAAAAAATTTATATTAAATTAAAATTACTTTAAAAATAAATTAAAATAACAATAAAACAAAACATAATAATAAAAAAAGACAAAAAAAACCACTAAAAACCATAAAAACAATAATGACTAAACTAGCTTTAGGGGTGCCAATGGCAATTAATAGGGGTGCCATTAGCCTCCCCTTGATAAAAATATATAACTTTAATTTATATTTTTGTAATATGATTTTATTGCATTTAATGGAATTTGAAGACAATACATTTTGCCAAATAATTTAATAAATATGCATCATTAAACATGAGATTTATAGATAAGGAAAAGGATTGAATAAAACACATAACCATAAATTCAAGAGACTTCATTAAATAAGAAAAATATTACCATAAATGATAATTCCAAGATACTTTATTAGTGTTAATCGGACGGTTTGAACCCTAAAAGCATATGGTTTCATGGTTTGGGCTTTATAGTCCCGATTTAGTAAGTTAAAAGATAACATCCGTTCAAAACTCAAGGTCCAATTAATGTTAATAATCGGGTTTCTTGGACTTGTCAAAAAAATTTATCTAACTTTAAAGATTTAATTAAAAGAAATATTTTCATCAATTATACAATTTGAAAATAATTACTAATAAGTTTACAACTCTAAATTGTATAAACATTAATTGAAATTTTGATTACAAAAATTAAAATAATTTAGATTCTGAAATCTTGTGATTTTAAATCTCAGTTTGTTGGATGTTGAAATCTTCAAACTCTAATCTTCTATTTATTTCAATCCAGCCTTGAAGTCATCTTTTATTTTCATTCTTAGTTCTTACAATTCTTTTTTTATCCGTGGTTCATCTTCTTTTAACTTTTGGAATAATTTCTTACTCCTTCGTATTGGTGTTTGCTGTAACATCCCAAGTTTTGGAAATTAATGTAAACTTCAAAAGTACAGGGACCGTGTATGTTGAAATTAAAAACTTGAGCTCAGGGACCTAAATGAATTTTGTCTGTGTATGAGGGCCAAACATGAAGTTGAGTATAACTTGTTCAAACTTAAGAAGTTAAACCATTTCCAACGGATATTTTAAAAAAATTCAAAAACTGACAATCAAAAATTAAATTTTTATAAAAAGAAATTTATTCACCTTTAACAATTTATCTATTATGAAAATTACAACGTAAGTAATATAATTAAAATATTTAATATCTTAACAAACTTTCAAATAAATTTTATCTACATCTATACTATTTTATAAAGTATTTGACAAAAATTCTAAAAAATCATTTTTTATGCATGAAATACTGTTTATCGATGCATATCACTTAAAATTCAAGATTACAAATACATTGTGCGTAAGTACAACTTATTATAATTTCATATTTGACCTCGTGTAACTAACTATAGATAATCATAATAAAATAGATGATAAACATATTTTAAATATAAAATATATAAAAATATAATTAGTATAATCATTGAGTTCTAACAAAATACTTGATTATTATCTTTATAAAAAATTATATTATTAAACTAAAAAAATGAATTAAGAAAATACACAAAAAAAAAAATTAAATAGTTAGTTTCATTCTAATGTTAATATTTTTTTTTAATTTTTTATGATATCTTCGTGTTTATATTTCATTCAAACATAAAAACATTATTATTTTCTCAAAACCACATAAAATCGTATTATAGCATCAACTCAAACAAAAAAAACGAAATATTAAAATCGAGATGTATCTCGCAGCATTGTGTGAGTACTCTTTTAATTATAAAGCATTTGACAAAAATTCTTAAAAATCATTTTTATGTACGAAGCACACTGTGTATTAATGCATATTACTTAAAAAAATTAAGATTACAAGTAAAATGTAAGTAAGTACAACTTATTAAAGCTTCATTTTTTAATTCGTATAACTAACTGTAGATAAACATAATCAAATATAAGGTAAATATCTCATTTTAAATATAAAAAATCTAAAATATAATTAAGATAATAATTAAGTTATAACATAATCATTATCTTTATAAAAAAAATTATTGTTTAGCCAAAAATAAATTACTTCACTATTTCACCTTAATTAAACTATAATAAAAACTTAAATTAAAAAATTACACAAAAAACGAGGAATTTTAAATAGTTAATTTGATATTTATATTGATATATTTTTTCAAATTTTTATGATGTCTTTAAATTTATTTTTATTTAAAAGTAAAAACATTATCTTTCTCAAAACCACATAAACTATATTAAATCAACAGAGACAAAAATTAGAATGGAACATTAAAATGAAGATATATCTCGCTATATTGTACGAGTACCCTTCTAGTATAAATAATAAGTTTAAAAACTTTAGTTAAAATGATAATTTCCAATAAAGTTTTCATAAAATAAAAGTCTTTGGAGGATGAAATGGATTTAAGTTTTTATAAAAATTCTATTGAAGCAAAAAAGAAGTCTTTAAATTTTTCATTTTCTTACTTTAAAAGAATTTATTTGAAGATCCTCTTAGAAAAAGATAGGAACGCATAATAGAAGTAGCAAGGAAAAATTGAGTTCAAGGATCATGAGATTCATCAATAAGGTAAGAATTCCCATTGTTTTCTTTAGTTGGTGCTTCCGCTTTTCAACATGACAAACGATATATGTATCAGGTCAAAATCAACTTAAAACAATAAATTAGATTAATAATATTTAAATCAACTTAAAACAATAACATGATCAGAAAAGAAAACTATTAGTAGTCTGTCTACTCCAACTCTGAGGGTTGTTTGGTTAATTTTTGGGCAGTGCTAATGGCACCCTCTTAGTAGGGGGTGTTGATTCATTGGAATTTGTGCATTTTTAAAACATCAAATCGATTTAATAATATATTATATTTAATTATTATTATTATTTAATACATATATATGCTAATTAAGTTATATTTTATATATATATATATATATATATATAT